GCTCACTGCATAATTAGATTATGCAGAACAATATAATTTAAATTTCCCCACCTGTTTATTAAACAGTATCTGTACTGTAGTCAGAATCATGTCCAACCCTGGCCTATTTGGAGCACTTGATCATGATAAATGGGATATTAAAATGTAAACAAGCCTTCTGATGAAAAACATTTTCCAATTGCTATGTCAGTCTATCCCTACAAAAAGTGACTACCCTTGACAAACTTCCTAATATAAAAATCTTGGTCAAAAATCTTAAATCTTCAAATTTTTACTAGTAGTGAAAAGCTAAATAAACCTACTGCTTGATTATTAAGATATCAAAACTGTCAGTTTTACATGTACACTGAGTTAGAGTCACAAAAAAGAACAATACTTAAGAGAAACATACTCCTACTGCTTGTATATTGTAAAGGGTATTTGAACAGAAACCAGAAATGAACTGGGAATCAAAATCCTACCTCACAGCAAGAAGTGAGTGCACTGGTGATTAACCAGCACCAAACCCACCACACTCATCAGTGCATTGGTTGGGAAATCTTAAAACTGGAGAAATCTTAAATAGGCAAACTAAAACCACTTCACCAACTTTACTGTGTTCACTGGGAAGAGAACACAAATGATGGGCTTTTCTCCCCTACAAACCCAAGGCATAAATGTGTAATGTTTACTAGAAATGTCCTCTTTTTTACAGTCCTGAGAGCTGTCCAGTCTCCCATTATCTTTTATATTGACAACATTCTCTGTCACTCAAAATATATTAAATTTTCAAGAACTCAGAAGCAACCAGAGTTTCCCCATCTTCTCATAAAAAATTAGAAGAAATCCTTTATTTTAATAGAGCCTTTTCAAGCAGTCCCAAACTTACCCATGAGGGAACACACACATTTCCTATTGCCAGAATGCATCCCAAACATAACAGAGAAACTTCATTTTTGCAATAAAGAAGCTTGTATGCAGAATCTAGAAAAGTAGATAAACTCTTATTTTTTTCAGTCTCCTCATGTTTGCTTAGAAAGATTCTGTATAAGGCAGATTTTACCAGCCTCAGCCAAGCTTGTTTTTCCTTCTGAAGAAGTGCTGAGAGTTGATTTTAGGATTGGAAGGCACTGCTGCTTTGTGGAGGCTTGGGGGAACAGATAATCCACTGGCAAAAGGAATTGGCTCTGATGGCCACTCTCCCCAGTTCTATGATTTATTTGTCTTGAAGCATCCCCCAGTCCTTGACTCAAGAAATCTCAGAAAACCAATGCATGCCCATCATGCCACTAAAAAGTATTAGCATTCTGGAAACAAATATGTTTGAGAAACTGATAGCAGGAAAGAAGTGTTTTCAATAAAGATTTGTGATGATTGAGTGCTTCCAGGCCAGAGCAGCCCCTTTGGTTTCCAACAAGGAGATATCACATTGCTCACAGGCATCAAAACTGGCCAAATTCCCAATCTTGGTATAAATGCTTGCAAATCAAATAAAAACATTCATCAGTTTTGAAGGGAAAAAAAATCAGTGAAAAAATGTTACAATAAATTTCTTAGCTAACCCTGGTGCTTAGGCTGTGAAAGGTTTTGTAGCACCTATTTTTTTATTAATCAGAAAGCAGAGAAGAAAAAAAATTACTAAGTAGGATATTTTGCAAAAAAAAAAGTGAAACATAGAGCCAGTCTTTGTATATTGGTTATGCAAAGAGGGGATGCCTTAAATAAAACAGGAATCACAAATCACTAAAGAAAGCAGGAAGTAGCAGTGTTTTGTTTCTTATTGAGCCCTCTCCCCTGTTCCACCTGTCTCATATAATTTCAGGGATTAACAACACAATCCTGACCATATAAAGCTATAATAGAGTAAATGTTGGAGCATTATGAACATCTCCAAAGCCAAAGGTGAACAGTTTCACATTTCCTGGGAGGGAAAATCAGTATTTCAGAGCTCCAAAACAGTGTGGACTCCACAATGGGCCAGCTGAGAGCTGCTGAGAGCCTTTGCCACCTCGGCAAGCAGCAGGAATTCCAGATTCCAAGCATTTGCCAGATGCATATTAAGGGGTTTGCAATGAATGGCTACCAAATAAATAGCCACAGGGCACTGAGCTTTCCTTCTTGTCTCAGCTTTGCATACACCTGCCAGAACAGCTTCTCAGAGAAGGCAATCATTTAAACTCACCTCTCATTTAATCTGGCCCTCCAGGGACAGGAGATAACTGGTTCTAATCAAGTAATAATGATATATTTGAATTTAGTAACATCAATCAACATTATAAACCTATGGCACATACAAATTGAAACCATGATTAGCCTCAGCTCTCCCAAACCACTTCAGAACTGTATCATGAATAAAGTCAAAAAGGATTTGTCTCATGTTCTTGACTTTATGATCTTGGCTTTTTATCTATCATGTACCACAGTATTTCCAATACAAAAGATAATGGAGGAAAACTAGGGTGATGGATTTCAGGTCAAATGATGCTCAATTTCTCCATCAGTATTGGGGAAAGGGAAAAACAGGACTCACTCAGTAAACATGGAACTCATTTCTCCCCAGCTATACCCCAAACTTTACCTCTTTACAAAATGCACCAGGATCCTGAATTCAAATCATAAGTAGAACAGTACAGAACAGCTTTTGTCAGCTCCAACTCCTGCCCCAACCTGGCAATGACTACCATCTGTGGCTATTGCCATCTCAGTGACCACATTCACTTCTCCATGAAACTGGGAAAGACCCATCTTTCAAACACTCATAAAAAAAGTCAAATTCCACTAAGGCTGATATCTCTGCCAAGGGATGTCTCTGCCCAATTCTCTTTTAATGCTTTCTCTAAAATAGTGACAGATGGGAAGATTTGTGCTTTTCCATTCCTGTACAATATGTCTGTTGTCACCCTCTTACACAGAACAAAATATTCTCTCTTAAAACAGGTAAATCAAAGTACCTGGAAGAAAGATGGTTTGCATTGGATATACAAATTAGAAGCTGAACCAAAAATAAAACCCTGGCTGTCTTATTCCAATTAAATATTCCAGTTGAGAGAAGGGATTTGGAGGCCTTTTTGTGGTGTTTTGTAACATGTGTGTTCAATTGAATCCTGGATCTTTTCAAAATTTGTATAAAGAGGGAACACATGGACCTACAAGTGGCTCCCCTCTTCCACATCTGTCCAAGACAGGAGAGTTATGGTGAGTGGGAGCAGCAGCTGAATGGATTGAAGTCCTGTGTAACACAATGGGGGTGTTAGCAGGGTGGCTTTTTGGGGCAGAGAAGCAGAGTCTGGCCTGTCCCATTTTCTGTTCCAACTTTGACAAAAACATGTTTCTCATCTCAGGAAGCCAGTGAAGAATTTGCCCCTGGGAATCACAGAAGCTCCAGCTGGAAGAGGGCTCAGACAGGATTAGAGGCAGAACAAAAAGGTCAGGCTTTCATCTGTGTGCAGTGGCACTTTCTTGTCTGAAGTATAAAAAGCAATTTTGCTATGGAAGATTTCTGGAATGTTCATGACAAAAATTGTCTGAAGCCCATGGTCTGCTATGGAGGTATCCTCTGTGCTTTAAACAAATTGTACTTGCATATCTCTGGCAATATCTCAGCTCACCAATCCCACACAGTGGCCCCACTAGCTGACACGACAGACTCAGTTGTTTTCTCTTGAGCACAGCACACAGGCAGTCAGTCACCCACAAGACAACTGCTTGTTTGGAGCCCTAATTCTGTCCTCCTCATAAAGATGCCCTTTTCCTTCTCTATGAAAATTCAGGTTTACAAGACACCTGTATTCATATTTCACTCCTGCAGTGCTTTGATGACTTCATCTCCCAACATCTTCACACTCTTGTGGGTCTGTTTTGGAGAAAAATTATTAGCCAGCCCCAGTGAAAATCAGAGGCAATAATAAAGCATCAAGCAACAAGTGTATCAGAGCTGAGGAGGAAGAGAAACTGCATCAACAAGCAATTGTGCTTTCTATTTCTTTAAAAGCAAATGTCAGGTCAGCAAGGCTTTTCTAATGGTTCCTAATCAAGCAGAAATCCTGCAGCCACTTTGGATCAGCAAAAGAAACCAAGATGGGATAGTGTGTGTCAGTTGGGTTTGTCCTAATGTCCTTTTTAAGAAGTGCAAGATTAGCTTTCTTTTGTTTCTTTGGACATCAAGAAACTTTCACAGCATTTATGCAAAGAGCAGATACATGAGGCATTTAATCCTTTATTTCATCTTATTTCTGACCATTATCATAATCAGAAATTTTTGTAGGAAGATGCAAGAACCCACATATGTTAGGCAGTTACAGAGCAGCTGGCCTGAGGAGCAAAAACTCATCCAGAAGGATCTAGAAATAAGCCTGCAGACCTTTTGGAAAATGCTGCACCTTTGCTGAAATGGTTTTATTTGGAGATCAAGCTGCTACAGTAAAATTCTGAACTGGTAAAGATACAAAAGAGGAGGGGAAGTTTCCATCTCAGCCAGCTGAGACCAGATAATTATTCTGAACATCTTAAAATTTCAGATTTATTCTAAAATCTACTGTTTATGTAACTACAGATATTTTAATTAACCATAGATTTTTCTCTCAAAATCCTATTAATAAACTGGCCTCCCTAACACTGGAGTTAGATCACATTGCCTGTAAAAACAACCACCCTGTGTCAATTTTACATAGATTCTCACCATTACTAAATGCCCATTCACTTGCCCACTATGAATAAACAAAGAAGTGAGTTTTTACTTACACATTCTGCAGATTTAATTTCATCCCACCCTCAGATATCCCATTTCTAAAAGAACAGCAGTGAATTTTACAACATTAATAGTGCAGAGAAGCCAGTATCCAGAGAGAAGAGGATTAGATGCTTAACTAATTAATTTGCTAAAACACTGCCTCTAAGAAATAATGCAATCATAGAGTTACCCCCTACAACTTCTGGGGTTGTAGTAGGACTTGTAGCAGCCAGGGCTACCTTCCAGGGAGTTACCTTCCTTGAACTTCTATAAACTCACACATTTTGAACAGCCTTTTCACATTCTGGATCTCTAATGCTCTCATGTTATTTAAATGCCAGAACTAGTCACCAAGAGGGCTCCAATCCAATAGGCAATAATTGCTGGAAATTCTTCTTATTTCCTAGCCCTCTCCTACACCCCTTCAAGACAGAACTGAGGGAAGTCTCTCCTGCTCTCCCCAACTTTTCCTAGCTGAAACCTGCTCCAATTTCACCCTGTAAATACCTGATATGAACAGATGAACTGGGAGGGGCCAGCAAGCTCTTCATAGTTTCAGAGGGGTGGAGGTAAACAGAAAAATAGTATATAAGATGCTTTGAGACAGATTTCTAAAGTGCATAGACTCTGACAGGAGGTGTCTGAAAAAAAGCCACTTCCTCAGGCTCCACCTTCAGAGACTCACTTCATTGGAAGCAAGGAAGGTACCAGGCTGCTGCAGGAAATTTTATACCTATTCCAGCTGCATTCAGACTACTGCAGTCAGCTGGAAGGTTTCTGTTGCTGTAAGCAAAAATGCCAGCAAGACCCACGGTTCAGCTGGCATGGCTCTGCATTGTCACCGTGTCTGTGGCGATCTACCCAGCACTGCTGCAGAAACCTCCCAAGAGGAGAACTATCCATGGGAATGCACAGCTGAAGATGCCAGGCTGCTGTGAGGAGATCAAGGAGCTCAAGCTGCAGGTAGCCAACCTGAGCAGAATGCTGCAGGAGCTGAGCAAGAAGCAGGAAGGGGACTGGGTGAATGTGGTGATGCAGGTGATGGAGCTGGAAGGGAGCGCCAAGCAGATGGAGTCCCGCCTCATCGACGCCGAGAGCAAATACTCCGAAATGAACAACCAGATAGACATCATGCAACTGCAGGCTGCTCAGATGGTCACACAGACATCAGCTGGTAAGGAGGGAGTCACCAAGCTCCCAGATACACCTCTCAGTGCACGACTAGTGACTAGTTCCTAGTGCTAGCATGTCCTGCTAACATGGTTAGCAAGCGTGCACACTGAAAATTGCTGCTTAGGCAGTGACCCTGAGAAAACTAGTTGGAATTTCTTCATCTGTATTTTTGTATCTATGTCTGTTTTTAAGGAGTGCAGAAATTGAACAGGTATTGTGTTTCCACAGTGAGGAATTCAGTCTAATATTTCATTTTCTGAGCACTACACCACAAATCCTTAAAGAAGGGGAGCTGGTTTGGTAAGGGAATGGCTCTGACAGTAATAACCTCTGAGCTCACAGTGCTGACAGGAGACTAGAAATTGTTAAAACAATTAGAAATGCTCTTCAGGAATTACTAAAGATTTGTAATTGTATCTTTATGACTATCTCTGAACTACAGTATGAAAAAGAGTGATCCATTATTTTTGAATGATAATTCTTAAAAATTCAAGGCTGTGGATTGAATACAAACTGTGATTTATACCTAGGCAGACCACAGTTAAATTCTTCAAAATTCTCTTCCCTGAGGGAAAATGTCATTGCACACAGTGATTGCACATGCCTGTATTCAATGTGGAATGCAGGTACATTTTTAGGTCAGCTACCTGTAAAGGCACTTCTAGAAGAAAGCATCCTCTTTGCTGACTTTTCTCTTCAAATGAAATTCACTGCAAAGAGCTTCAATTGTCTCAGTCTCAACTGGATTTGCCAAAAGACTTCATTTGGATTTTTTAAATTAACATTAAGGAAAAACTTCTAAATCTATTTACTTAATTCTTCCTCTAAAATGGTTGCACCTGGTTAGTTTTGACACATCACTATTTACAATAGGCCTTAAAAAAAAGTTACACCATAACAAGTCTCTTTGAAGATGAAGAAAAAACTGTTACATGCAGCAGAAACTGGCCCAGAAGGTATTTAGGACAGATGTGTCTCACCTCACCAGGTTAAGAGACATTTTTGAAAACTGTCAGACATTATAAAGCCTTGCTTCAGCTTATTTGTCCTGCTCAAAACAGCCATGCATTTTACCATCTCCAAGTCAGCTCCTGCACCAGGAGGAAAAGAGGCTTTCACTGACTGACTGACTGCAGTTAAAAGGCATTTTCTCTGTCACAGATGCCAGGGCAGAAAGAGCTGAACAAATATCCCTCATCCACAAACTTGGCCAACCTGTTCACACATCCAAAACAGACACCTGGCAGCAGGCCTGGCCATTTCATTTGGATGAGTCTTTATTACTTAGTAGGGGGTCAGCAAATATACTTTCCAGCACAGTGGCAATGTGATGAGAAAGCAGAGATGTGTTTTTGCAAAGAAGAGGTTAAAAAAAAATTAAATAAATTAATAAAAGTCACAAAATCCCAGAGTTACAACACCTTTTGCCAATGCATACACTACTCATAACAAAGCCATTTCAAGAAAACATTAGACTTGTGGAAAGCGTTCTTCATTACTCCTTGTACAACAAACTAAACTTTGCAGAAAGCACCTTCACAGAAGAGTTCTTCCTGCTCAGATTCTCACTTTCTGGTTCTGATTCAAGTAGATGCTGTTTATGATTGCTCATCACTTTACCAGAGGAACTACCGAATTTCTGGTGTTTACAAGCTACCTCCTGATGAATTTTTGGGAATTCCAGATCTGGAGGTAAGGCTATTCAGTACACAATGTATATTACATTTCTTTTAAAATATAATCAAGAAATACCTCTCTACAGAGATGAAAAAAGCACACACTAAGTTTTGGTACCCTGCACTTGCCATCAGCATTTTTATGTAAGCAAACTTAAAGGATGGAAAGAGTGTACGTACATTTAAGAGAGAAAATAGAAAAAGGGTTTATCTAATAATTTTTTGCCATAGAAGTTCCTTCAGGTTGTGAAATCTGGAACAATGTGTTGTGTTAAAGAGAACTGAACCTTCCTAAGTCTACTGACAAGTAACCACAGCTTTTTTTTCCTATTCCAGGTGTTCTGTGACATGGAGACAGATGGAGGTGGCTGGACTGTCATCCAAAGACGTAAAGTTGGTTTGACATCGTTCAATAGGGACTGGAAACAATACAAGGAAGGATTTGGCAATATTAAGGGAGATTTTTGGCTGGGAAATGAAAATATCTACCGACTTTCAAGACGCCCCACTGTTCTGCGAGTAGAGTTGGAGGTAATTAATAAGCTCTTAATTTCAGCAGCAAAAGGCTTTTTTATTCCCCAGTACCAGATACCATCTCCTGTCTCTGTAGGAGGCCCAAAGAATTTCCATGCTTTAATTACAAGAGAAGGAAGTAGGGTCAGCATAGGAATACATTCAAACACAAAACAGAAGCCTGTTCTCCCCTGTGCAAAGTCAGTAGCACAACCTTCTGTCCACACATGCACAGTGTCTTCAGAATGTGTGGGGTTCTTTGCAGAAGCCACTGAAGACAGAGATCAAACTGCTGATCATCTCAGATTTAAAAATTCAAAAAGAGATGTCCCATTAAGTTGCCAAGCCTCTGAGTCTTTTAATTTTGCAGCACTTCCTTCCAGTCTGGGTACAAGAGTTTGTGTTGTATTATCCTCAATTTCTTCAGTTTGTTAAAGGCTTGGATTTGACTTAGACTAATTTACAGTTGGTACAATAGCTTTGAGGGATGAGATATGTATAAACTGAAAGGCTTAATATCTAAAAGTAAATATAATTAATATTAAAAGTTAATATCTAAATATCTAAAGTTTCAGAGAGGAAAAAAATGACTTGAGGCAGCATGCTGACACAAGGATATTGAATGCAAGAGCTGCACATCAAGTTTCCTGTACAATACAGGGCAGATCAGACTTGGATGTTTCATGCTTTGCTCTGGAAAGTTCCTTTGCCTTAACAGAGCAGTTTTTGCAGTCAGAGACAGTAAAAATATATGTCTATAATCATGGATGTTGGAGTCTTTTTGCTAAGTGTTCTAACAGGACTGAGCTCTCCTCCCCTGTTCTGTGCAGGACTGGGAAGGTAACACACGCTATGCCCAGTACCAGCAATTCACCCTGAGCAATGAACTGAACAGCTACCGCCTGTTTGTGGGGAATTACACAGGGAACACTGGGCGGGACTCCCTGAGGTACCACAACAACACGGCCTTCAGCACAAAGGACAAGGACAACGACAAGTGTGTGGATGACTGTGCCCAGTTCCGGAAAGGTAAAACACACAAGCCCCTTCCTGTCCCGACAGAGCTGCTCGGGTCAGGTTAGAGAGCCAAACATTCCCTCTTTGCATGCAACTAGTCACATCTGAATGGCAAATCAAGGGAGAGGTGAGCAGTTCTGGAAAATACACTTATGTGGGAAATCTGGCAGTTAAAGCTGATTTACAGAGAGCCAGACTGTCTATTACAATACTTTTAAAATAAGAAAAATAAGTATTGTAATACTCTTATTTTAAGAGTATTTTGTGTGTGTGCTACGTGTGCACACACACACAATACTCTGTGTGCTCTCCCCTACACATAGTTACCCATTATAGTATCTGCCAGACTATTTCACATGCTGATAAAATACAGTGATAGAGGAAGTAATTTCTTAATATCTATTGGTTCTTATTTTTTCTTATATTTTTGTAAGTTTTCGAATCCTAGTATTAGGCACCTGTAATTCTCCTGTATTCACCTCCACATTCAGCTAAACTTGTGATCTTTATTACAATCCTATTACAAACCTCTAATGAGGTTACTTTCTTAATTTTAGTATCTTTGAGTTCTGTCAAAAATAATTATATTCATTACATCTTGCTCTTTAATTTCCCCATTGTGTCCCACACAACATCCAAATAAAACTGTTGATCTTAGTCTCAATAAATACTCAGAGAGTTCAGGAACTTTTTAAACACCTTAAGATGCTCTAGCAAATTACCCAGATTCATTTCCTATGCTAATTCACTAAGTCAGAAACATGTTAAGGAAATATTCTAAGAGGAATGAGCAACTAAATGAAAAGCTACTGGACCAATTTGACTATAGAGCTGTAATGCCTTTAAGTTCCTAAATATCTATGTTAAGTTTTAAATGTACTGCAACCTCAAATCAGAGCCACTGGATTAAATGCTGCATTCTGCTCCCTGTCCTCTGGAACAAGTAATAATTATTAACATAAATGACTCACCAGGAATCTATTGTATTTCCTGACAAGGTGGATATTGGTACAACTGCTGCACAGATTCCAACCTGAATGGGGTTTACTACCGCAAAGGAGAGCACACCAAGAACATGGATGGCATCACCTGGTACGGGTGGCACGGATCAACCTATTCACTCAAGAGAGTGGAGATGAAGATCCGGCCAGAGGATTTCAAACCATAGAAGAAATCAATGTTTGATTTTTTTTGTACAGCTACATGACATCACCACGCAAAAGGTGGGCAATAAACAGCCAAATAATGTTTCATTTCATCCAATACATGCAACAGCTATGTACTGGTGATGCACACAAACACTGTGACACCAGTCATAGCCACCAGTATTATCAGGACTCAGGCTCGTTTCCTCCTCTTCAGGCTCTTTCCAAAGGGAAAAATATTGTGTTAGAGTAGCTTAGAACTGAATGCACTTATAGCACCTTCAGAAAACCTATGGCTGTGTTTTCACTAGCAGTGTGATTACTGGGTTGCCTTAGTACTATTAACCAGATAGGCAGGGACTGAAAAGCAAAAGCCTCTTGGCTTCCTTTCCTTCAGTGTCTGGAGCAAGCACTGCTAAGCAACTTCCTTCAAGAAGTACTCAAACCACAAAAGTTATGGACTCATTTCAAGCCAGAGGAATCAATCAGAAGCATCTTTGATGCACCTTTCTTTAGTGTATAGTAAGTGGCTTACTTTCCCACAGAAGAAAGAACAAATCTCAAAAATGTTGTTGTGTTAATTAGCATTGTCCAGATTCTCCCCTGAAGTTTTACTGCCACCTCCTGCTGCTGCCTCAAATAATCCCCACTGAAGGCTGCCCAAGACAGCAACACTGGAGGAGGATTTGTCCCATGGGCTCTCCAATGTTTATTTCTACCCATACAGATCACCTAAATGCTGATAAACTAGAAAAGCAACTTTCTAGGCTGTCCCTAAACTATGTTCAGGTTAGAATACAAACATGCTCTATGTCAGTAAGGCTGAGTGAGCAGCAGGTTAGCAAAAAAAGTCCAGATGCAGCCAAAGAACTCAGATCCAACATTTAAAACCACTGTATTCATGAGCAGAACACCAGTACACACCAGAGAATCCCTAAGTGCCAAAAGTAAGGGAATGTTTGCTAGCACAGCAGACTGAGGAGTATCAAAATCTGTTTTGAAAACTACCCCAGTTGGAAGTTCCTTAGAGATAGTCTGTCAAAAATAGTAAACTTCTCCCTCACATAACACAGTGTTAAAGATAACAGTTAAAAAAGAATGAGACTCCTCCTATAGCCCTACCATTGTTTGAAAATGTTGGAAAAGATTGTTATAATTAATATATCTATTTTTATTCACTTGAAGAGAGTTTGAATCTAGAACAGGTTGTTCAGTCCTGTGTGAAATGGAAGATAAAGGTGTCTTGGGAATTTACATATGTTCAAATATTCATAATGCAATTTTCAACTGTGTGGAACTACAGTTGGAACTATTTTAACTGTTGTCTATAATGGATTTTTAAAAGTTTCTAAAACATTTTCATTTCTAATAAATTGTTTCATTTTTAAGGGTGCTTTACATCAATTCTTTGCTCCTTGCTTTTTCATATACAAAAAAACAACTGCATGAGCAACTGAGACCAAGAAAAAAAAAATACACTGAATTTTGTATTTTTCTCAATAACATGAGGCAGAACGAAGGGTGAAAAAATAATAGAGGAGAAAAAAATCGGAAAACAATTCCAAGGAAGTAGGAGGGTTGAAAAATTCACTGCCTAAAGACAAAGTTAAGTTTTTGCTCAATCAAAATCAATTCGTTCACCTCAAATAGCTGAGCTAACAATTCTGTGATATAGAATAGAGATTCACATTTTAAAGCATCAAATCCTGTGCAGATATTTCAGGCTAACATCTGTGTCACTGACCAAGCTCAGAAACAACACATAATTTATAGTATCTTCTATTTGACATCAGAGCAATGAGACCTATCTAAGGTAAATCAGCAGAATGTGATGAGAAATTTTAATTAAGAACTTCAACTTTTCTGACTTATTTACATGCAGGTGTAGAAATTAATCTGCAGCCACTTCATGGCATTCCATAGTGAGCTGGAAGGGTGAGAGAGGGGAATCACAACTTTTTCCTGCACTTCTTCCTGCAAAACTTCCCTGAGGCTTCTAGCATAGTTTTAACCACACAGTAGAAGGACAGAACTCAGGAGTTAAAATTGCACATTTGCAAGTAGTTTAACAATGTCTTGTGACAGCATGAAGTCCTAAGAACTGCCTAGATTAATCCTAGTGGTATCTTAAATTGTAGCTACAGCAAGAGCAGAAATCTCATCAGTTGTGGTCCTACCTGATGAGAGACTCTAGAATAGCTGGGGTGGGACCTTTTTGAAATTCCAGCTCTTTGTAGTGAAGGGCCTTAGCATATGCTCGACATTTGGCAGCTCTTTCCCCCAGAAGGACAATGCCATTGTCATCTCTCAAAGGCAGTGGGCCCTGGGAAGGAGCACACACATCAAAAACAGGATGAGTATTACACAGAATAGCACCACAATAGCACGAAAAGGAGCTGCCCAACAGCATCTCTACCTTGTCACTGTGCTCCATGAATTCTGCCAAGTTCAGAAGAGTCTGAGTGACTTCTGCAATATCCTGAGATGTCAAGGCCAACTCAATGCTTCGGATCAGCTCATCCTGCTGGTCTTCATTCAGTTCAGACCAACATGAAACAAAAGCAGCATTGAAGAGGTCTCTGGGGAGGAACACAAACAACCGTGTGAGGAGACTCAAACAGTGTGATGAGAAAAAGTCTGTTTGACAGTGGGCTCATCTTCTTACCCAGAGAAAGAGAGCTAAAAAATACACTTACATGCCTACCTGCAATAATCAGTAATTAGTTTTGATAAAGCTAACTTCTGTGAAACCTTCATTTTAAAAATATACTGGCTGGTATACTACAATAAGAGAAATATTGTACTATCATATGTTTTCAAAGTTTCTCCAAATATGCTGGTTGTAAAGAAACTCTGCAGTTTATTCCACTCAGAGGCATTTTTAATCCCCACAATAAATACTCAATACAAATATTTCATACTCTGCTGTTTTTACAGCTTCACTTATGTGCATTATCATATTTCTGGACTAACATGCAGAATTTCAATGGAAGATTTTGTGCACATCATGGAGCAGCCAACTAGGAAGACTGGAAATGAAATCAAGCTGTTGGCTCTTTGATTTATGCCAAAGCAGAAACTATCTCTATTTATGAAACCTAAGAGCTTCTAAATAACTTTCTTTTTTCCTTATAATATCCGGCTTTCATCTGCCATTTCAAGTGAGATAAAAATCCAGAAATACTGTACCGAGCCATGGGATTATAGGCTTGAGCCAGGGCCCAACACGAGCGCAGGGATGGGGAGGAAGAATCTTTCAGCAGCTCCAAACTCAGCCTCCTTAACCATTCCAACCAGTCATCCTTGGAAACTCTTCTTGCTGCTCCCCAGGCCTGCAGTACAAAGGAAGACAATTCACCTACCAAACAAAGCACTAAAGAAATCCTTCAGCAGGCAGCATTACTTCCTTACAGCTCCAAACCACATGCTGAGAATTCCTTTTCAATTTCCTGAAATCCATTACCTTAACCAGATAATCTGCAGTACTTAAGCCTCATGTCTAAGAAATCTTCCCTAAATGTATTCCTGCCATGACATGGCAAGTATTTAACATGAACAATCCTTTCTCTACAAAAATATATGTAGGGCTGAAGACACTGTTGAAACATCAGCTTAAAAATACTTAATGCATTTAGAATTGCATTTTTAAGTCCAGCATTTTCAAACCAATCCATCCCATTACTGAACTATGTGCTGCATGCATGTACTGTTCAAACTAGCCAGTGCTTAGCTATTAAGTTCTGCCTTCAAGAAAATATAAAACTAGGATATAAGAGCAAAAGCAAAAATTCAGGCAGAGGCTCTGAAAAAGATGTCTCTATTGGTGAGAGATTATTCATTGTGATCTAGAAAGTCTTGTTCATACTTAACAAGCAAATGTAAAGGTTACTTCACAGCCATTCACTCCTATCTTTAAAGTTGCTCAGCACCTTCTAATTTTAAAGCATCTCAGACACTACTTCGACCTCAGTTTTGTACAGAATAGAAAAGCAACATAAAAGCAATATAAATAAATGTAGTTCAGATGCATCGGACAAAACTCCTTCAGTGTGACACATTAGCTCCCTTCAGTAGCCAATTCATGCTGTGAAGGCTCTAGTCTTACCTTCTGCAGGTTGATGGTGCTCACATGTAATTTTTTCATGGGACCTGTTTCCACAGGACCACTGGGCAAAGTTTCTCCCTGGTTGCTTCTCAACATTCGATGCTGATAAATCAGGGGATCCTCTTCTTCATCAGCAAGAGTGTAACCCTACAATAATTGGTTTACAGTGAAGATCACACCCACACATACAGAAGCAATTCTTGACAAGCCAAAAAAAGAGCACTTACAGCAAAATCTGTGAAGCAAATAACCATATTTCATTATAAAGATTACACCTTATAAGGCAGAGAACTCTAAATGATATCCCTTTGCTGCTCAATGTAACTGTCAAGAACTCTTAGCTCCTAGTATAAAAAGCCAAAACAATGCATATCAAAACAAGCACTGCTGCCTATTTGACTTGCTAGTTGCTTGTTCCACACAAATTGTAAACCAATTACTAAATTTTTAAAATATAAGACATTCCACAGAAAATAGATAACAAGGTCTCCTCAAGTTCTGAAACCATGGGAAAAATAGGATAAATCCACATTTCAGAACTACCAAGAAAAAGAATAATAATGACACTGGCTACAAGTCTAAGTTCTTCCATAGAACTTGCCATGATTTTTTGGTAGGAAATATTTAATATCAGTAGACAAAAAATTTCCCACTGCAACCTCAAAGTTGTATTAAAAAGCTGCACTTAAAACAGAAACAGAGCAACAACCACTCCTCATTTTATGAGTAGATCCAAGTGAAGGTTCCAGCTCCATCTGTTTCAACATGACAACATCCCAAAAGTGCAAACAACTGTACACTTGTCAGCTTACCTTTACAATTCTGCAGATGAGAACATCATAGCGTTGATGGTTAATTCTGTGTCGCACCAGGACTTTGTTCACCATCGGGATAAAAATTTGGTACTGTAGAAGGGAATGCATCATAAACTTATTATTCAGTGGCACCAAGAACAATAAAATTCCATCACATTGTTTCATTGATGGGAAACCAATCCTGACAGTTTGATTTCAGTAACTCCCAATTCCAGAAACAGCTAAGAGAAGAAAAATTAGTTCTCTGGGAAATCCATGAGTACATTACAAAACTTCAACTTTAAAGCCTTGATCTCTGGGACAGTCACACCTTCTGTGAGCTTTCAAGCCAAAGAATAATATTACCTTCTTTCCCAGCTGGAACACCAGAGAGGAGAGGGTGTCCATTGCAGTTGTTCGTAGCTCAGGGCTCTGATCTAGTGTTCGTACGATGGGATGAATAATCCGTGATGCATAATCTGTGAAATCCAGGGACTCTGTCAAGCGGTCCACTGTTTCTAGAGCAGCTCTTAAGTCAGAGTAAAAAGAGGGAAGAACTTATCTCTCAGTGTTAAGAAGGAATAAGAAAAATTATTAAAGTGCTCAGTCCTCCTAGGATTAATAATAATAGGAAAAAACAGGCCACCAGAACTCTGTTAAAACACCTAGTACTTGCAGGACAGTTTGCAAAACCCACCAACAAACCCAAAAAACTAGTGACACTGCTGTAATGTCCAAACAAAAATAACCTTCCACAATGATTTAACACCGAAAAACTGAAAAGGGACGAAGTGGTATTTAATTGTAAACGTTCAGCCACTGCAGAACTTGGATATCACAGGTAAAACTACAAAGAGAGAGACTGCAAAGCCACCAGCACTTACTTGCGAGCCACCACAGGGACATCTGGGGCATCAAATAGCTTTACAATGGGAGGTAGTAACAAATGAAGGTAGTCATCCAGGTTAGCTCCAAAGAGCTGGATCGCATTAAGCAGCTGGAGAGAAAAATCATAGAAGACTAGAATGTCAAGGGGTTTGAACAGATCTTAAAGATCATCTAGTCACAACCCCCCCTGCCATGGGCAGGGACACCTTCTACTAGACCAGCTTGCTCATATCCAACCTGACTCTGAACCCTGCCAATGTTGGGGCATCCACAACTTCCACATGCAATGTGCTCCAGTGTCTCACCACCCATGCAGTAAAGAATGTCTTCTTAATATCTAACCTACATTTCCCCTCTTTCAATTTGTACCTGTTACTCCTTTTCCTGTCACTACAGCTCCTGACAAAGAGTCTCTCTCTGCTGCTCAATAGCTCCTTTCACATGGTGGGTCTCCATATAACCTTTTATTCTCCAGGCTGAAGAGCCCAAACTTCCTCAGCCTGTCTTCACAGGGGAAGTGCTCTAGTCCTCTTATCAACTTTGTGGCTTCCTCTGGACCTGCTCCAACAGTTTCATGTCCTTCTTACACTGAGGACACCAG